GGACGTGCAGCCGGCGGCGACGGCGTGAGTGGAGCGGGCACACTGCACAGCACACGGACACAGTGGGCAGCACACGGACAGACGGACCCACAGCGCAGCACACGGACACACAGCACAACAGACGGACACACAGCGGGCACACAGCGCAGCACACGGACACAGCGGGCACACGGCGCAGCACACGGACACAGCGGGCACACAGCGCACCACACGGACACAGCGGGCACACAGCACAGCACACGGACACAGCGGGCACACAGTGCAGCACACGGACACAGCGGACACACAGCGCAGCACACGGACACACAGCACAGCACACGGACACAGCGGACACACAGCGCAGCACACGGACACAGCGGACACACGGACACACAGCGCAGCAGACATACGGCACAACAGACGGACACATGGCACACAGCACACGGACACACAACAGACGGACACACAGCAGGCATGGTTGTCCACTAAGGGTGTTTGTGTCCACTGAGGGATGTTTGTGTCCCCTGGAAGGGGGGCGGTGTTTGTGTCCACTGAGGGAGTGTTTGTGTCCCCTGGGAGGGGGATGGGGGTGTTTGTGTCCACTGAGGGGCGGCTCGTCTCGGCTGACGGCTGTGTCTCTGCCGCAGGACGGCCTCCAGTCCCGGTGCGCGGCCGTCCGCCATGTCCGACCTGCTGTCGCTGGACCTGGGCGGGCCGGCGGCGGCCGCGCCCCCGCCGCCGGCCGGCGTGGTGGCCGACCCGTGGGGCCTGCCGGCGCCGGCGGCCGCCAAACCGGCCCAGGTGAGCGGGCACGGGGCGGATACAGAGCGGCCGAGCGGCGCAGCAGTGGCAGACTAGTGTACCGTGTACCGTGTACCCTTCTATATGTGGCGCCTGACCGGCCCGCGTATCACATCTGCCAGGTCCGTCGGTAGTGTCGACGCATGCCGGATAGCACCCTCAGATGCCGGTCCCGTAGCTCAGTCGGTAGAGCGCTGGATCCCGCGTAGCGAGAGCACACGTTTCCGGTTGTAACAGTCCGGGCTCGAATCGCGACGGGCGCTCGATGTTTATGAGCCTCCTGACAGGTATGGTTGCGGTTGGTGGCAGGCCGCAGCCAGGCGAAGTCAGTGAGGGGACCGGCCGTGCGCGGCTATGTGCGCACGTTAAACTTTGGGCTCTAAATTCTGCCATAGAACTGGAATTGCGCGGTCGGAGGGTTGAGGGCAGAGCCAACACCATAAAGCTCTGCATAATGGGGGGCTGTCCTTGTGAATCCTTCCATTTAAAAGGTTCAAACTAAATTTATGAAAACAGTTTCTGAACGGTCCGGGTGTCTTATTTGAACGCTCCTTGTGCTGTATCTGACCGGCTCATGTCGACACCTTTTTTAAACCCCACATCTGCTCTCCCGTGAATTTCCGGGAGGCACGAGAGATCTCCTTTTAAAAGTGTCCAATCGTCCGATCCTGATCAAATATGTGTGTTCGTAGGCCTGTCCTGGTATTGCTTTATCTGCCAAGACAGACAAACTTGAGAAAAATCGAGTGATTGTACCTTTTTTGAAGGTGTCTAACCAACTTGTCTGAAATTCACCGGAGAACAAATGTGGGGTTAAAAAAAAGGTGTCGATGTGACCGATCCGTCTTCTGTATCTGACCGCTCAGTATCTGACCGACCCCCTACTGTATATGTGTTGTATCTGACCGGCTCATGTACCGTATCTGACGGGTCTGTGTGCTGTATCTGACGGGTCCGTGTGTTGTATCTGACCGGTCCGTGTGTTGTATCTGACCGGTCCGTGTGCTGTATCTGACTGGTCCGTGTGCTGTATCTGACCGGCTCATGTACCGTATCTGACTGGCCTGTGTTGTTATCCGTGCTGTATCTAACGGGTCCGCGTGCCGTATCTGACCGGCTCATGTACCGTATCTGACTGGTCTGTGTGCTGTATCTAACGGGTCCGCGTGTTGTATCTGACCGGCTCATGTACCGTATCTGACTGGTCTGTGTGCTGTATCTGGCCGGTCTGTGTGTTGTATCTGACCGGCTCATGTACCGTATCTGACCGGTCTGTGTGCTGTATCTGACCGGCTCATGTACCGTATCTGACTGGTCTGTGTGTTGTATCTGACCGGCTCATGTACCGTATCTGACCGGTCCGTGTGTTGTATCTGACCGGCTCATGTACCGTATCTGACCGGTCCGTGTGTTGTATCTGACCGGTCCGCGTGTTGTATCTGACTGGCTCATGTACCGTATCTGACCGGTCCGCGTGTGGTATCTGACCGGCTCATGTACCGTATCTGACCGGTCTGTGTACCGTATCTGACCGGTCTGTGTGTTGTTGTCCGTGCTGTATCTGACCGGTGGCCCGCGCTGCAGTCTGCGGTAACTCCGCCGGTTCGATGGAACCCGTTCAGCGCGGCGGTGGCGGTGCGGCGGCCGGCCGGCCGGGCCGGACAGGTCAGCCGAGGTCACCCAGTGTGCTGTCACCTCCCCGGGTTACCGAGTGTGACCCCACCTGTAACCGGCTCTGACCCCACCTGTAACCGGCTCTGACCCCACCTGTAACCGGCTCTGACCCCACCTGTAACCGGCTCTGACCCCGCCTGTAACCGACTCTGACCCCACCTGTAACCGGCTCTGACCCCGCCTGTAACCGGCTCTGACCCCACCTGTAACCGGCTCTGACCCCACCTGTAACCGGCTCTGACCCCGCCTGTAACCGGCTCTGACCCCACCTGTAACCGGCTCTGACCCCACCTGTAACCGGCTCTGACCCCACCCGTAACCGGCTCTGACCCCACCTGTAACCGGCTCTGACCCCGCCTGTAGCCGGCTCTGACCCCACCTGTAACCGGCTCTGACCCCACCTGTAACCGGCTCTGACCCCACCTGTAACCGGCTCTGACCCCGCCTGTAACCGGCTCTGACCCCACCTGTAACCGGCTCTGACCCCACCCGTAACCGGCTCTGACCCCACCTGTAACCGGCTCTGACCCCGCCTGTAACCGGCTCTGACCCCGCCTGTAGCCGGCTCTGACCCCACCTGTAACCGGCTCTGACCCCACCTGTAACCGGCTCTGACCCCACCTGTAACCGGCTCTGACCCCGCCTGTAACCGGCTCTGACCCCGCCTGTAGCCGGCTCTGACCCCACCTGTAACCGGCTCTGACCCCACCTGTAACCGGCTCTGACCCCACCTGTAACCGGCTCTGACCCCACCCGTAACCGGCTCTGACCCCACCTGTAACCGGCTCTGACCCCACCCGTAACCGGCTCTGACCCCGCCTGTAACCGGCTCTGACCCCACCTGTAACCGGCTCTGACCCCACCTGTAACCGGCTCTGACCCCACCTGTAACCGGCTCTGACCCCGCCTGTACCTGGCACCGGCTACCCCAGGGTGACGGGGTTAGTCGCTGTGGCTGACTCACAGAGCCGACATTACCAATTGACCAGACACGGACCGTGGTCAGTACTCCCAACGCTGCTCCCTAGTCACTGCTCCCGCACGGTGTGTGCTTGATCGGTCGGCTGAGGCTATCGGAGCACATCTCGGATATCAGCTACCAGACACTAACCCGAGCCCGGCCGGGGCTCAGTCCCAGACACTAACCCGAGCCCGGCCCGGCCCCAGCCACCAGACACTAACCCGAGCCCGGCCGGGGCTCAGTCCCAGACACTAACCCGAGCCCGGCCGGGGCTCAGCTACCAGACACTAACCCGAGCCCGGCCGGGGCTCAGTCCCAGACACTAACCCGAGCCCGGCCCGGCCCCAGCCACCAGACACTAACCCGAACCCGGCCCAGCCACCAGACACTAACCCGAGCCAGGCCGGGGCTCAGTCCCAGACACTAACCCGAGCCCGGCCGGGGCTCAGTCCCAGACACTAACCCGAGCCCGGCCGGGGCTCAGTCCCAGACACTAACCCGAGCCCGGCCGGTCCTCAGCCACCAGACACTAACCCGAGCCCGGCCGGGGCTCACCCAGTCCCAGACACTAACCCGTGCCCGGCCCAGTCCCAGACACTAACCCGAGCCCGGCCAGGGCTCAGTCCCAGACACTAACCCGAGCCCGGGCGGGGCTCAGTCCCAGATGTCGGTGTGCACATCGTATGTCTTAAAGTAGGTACTCTATACTAAATCAACATCAGGCACTCTATTTGAAGGTTGATTCGAACTCTTGGCACCGACCTCCGATTTGTCATTAAATGTAGCCGAAGCTGTTGTAGTATAAACAGCCGAAAATTTACGATTCAGTGTACTTGCACAGGATTTGAGCTCTGAAATTGAATGAGTTTCACATAATTCGTATTTTCTGTTCTGTTTAATGGGTGCACGACTGGTGTTTTTATGAGGATTATCAAATGACAGAGTTCCTGGTTTGATAATGCGAATTGGGGAAGCGCTATAGAACAGAAATTAACTCCAAAATTACGGGTTCCATTTTCAAATTCGGACTGTTTGGAAGCATCGCAAAATTGTCAGAGCAAAACCAACCTATGCTGACCTCGAGATCATTCATGACGTCACATGGTGGCAGGGCTGCGGAGTCGGAGTCGGAGTCGGAGTCGGAGTCGGTCGGAGTCGACAGTTGTGACCGGAGTCGGAGTCGGAGTCGATTTTAGAAACCCGAGCCGGAGTCGGAGTCGGAGTCACCGAAAATCTGTCGACTCCGCAGCCCTGCTAGGTCTGTGGAGTCGGAGTCGGGAGTTGGAGTCGGTCGGAGTCGACAATTCTGCCCGGAGTCGTAGTCGGAGTCGGAGCTGGTTTTTGAAAGCCGGAGTCGGAGTCGGAGTCGCCGAAAATCCATCGACTCCGCAGCCCTGCATGGTGGAACAAAGTACAAATTATCATTATTTAGGCAAGTCCACACTGCAGCTGTGGGCTCTTACAGCTGTTTAACACGTCACATAGAGCTCCAGTTTAGTTCACCATCCCATGCTTGCACGGTGACTGTATGTACAGGTCTCGCGAGATTAAGCGGTAGGTTTTGCACTTTTACATTTCCGGTTATATCTTAGAAACTAATCGATCTACGATGAAGTCATTTTACACGATCATGGCCGGCTTGTTACCCAACAAGTCGATCGCATCTTCAACACTTAAAAGCTTAAGACGACGAAGATATAGCCTGAAGTACACTAAATTTTCTAGGTGCAAAACCTACCGCTAAAACCCGCGAGACCTGTAGCTTGTGGGTGTCGAACCTTCACTCGGTAGGAGGTCAAACCTAGGCCAGAACATGTGACGTAATTTTATGGGCGTGTAGAAGTCATGACACACGTTTATTGTGCAATTTGGCCAATAACTCGAGAACTTTATCCTCACCGCTGTCCTAGGTCATTTTCAGCCGTGTTTAGTGGTCAGTTCTCGGTCAGGTGGAAAGGTCGATTTTTAAGATGTTTTATGGATCAAACACATCCTCTGCAGATCCCAGCTCGGCGGCGGGACTGTGTCTAATTGTCGGCGGAATCTGGACTGAGTGGCGGCTGTGTCCCTGTCTGCGGGGGGCTGTAGTCGGGCCACGGGCTGTCACCTTCCGCCGCCTGCGCTCCCGCCCCGCCGCACTGGCCGGCCCATTGCCGCCTCCCCGCCCCCGCCCCCGCCCCCGCCCCCGCCGGCCGGCCGTGCTCCGCCCAGTGCGGCACGGGCCGCCGGCGCGGCGCCATGTCCTCCTACCGGCACCTTGAGGACGAGGACGAGGCGGCGCCGGAGGACCCGTCCTCGGCTCCGTCCGTTGACTGTCGGCCGTCGGGCGGCGGCCCCTCGGAGGTGAACGGGGCCGGCCGACGGGGGGCCGCTGACAATGAACAGTGGTGCGCCGGTGGGAGCGGAGCACCTGCGGAGCACCTGTGGACTGTGGGCCCGCTGTGGACTGTGGGCTGTGGGCCCCCTGCGGACTGTGGATTCAGAGGGCTGTGGGCCCCCTGTGGACTCTGGGCTGTGGGCCCCCTGCGGACTGTGGAGCCAGAGGGCTGTGGGGCTCATGTTAGCTGTGGAGCCAGTGTGGACTGTGGACTGTGAACTGCGGAGCCAGTGTGGACTGTAAACTGTGAACTGCGGAGCCAGTGTGGACTGTGGACTGGACTGCTGAGCCAGTGTGGACTGCGGGTAATAGTAAAGTGTCCACTGACCGTCCGGCCCCCTGTTGCAGCCCGTCCACTGACCGTCCACTGACCGTCCCGCCCCCTGTTGCAGGCGGCTGCCCCGCCCGTCGACCCCTGGGGGATGCCCGTGCAGCCGGAGCCGGCCGTCCCTGCGCAGGTCAGAGACGGGGCGCGTCACCGCCGGTCACAGGGTCCCGCGGTGTGGTATCAGAGGGTCCCCGATGTGTGGTATCACAGGGTCACGCGGTGTGGTGTCAGAGGGGTCCCGCGGTGTGGTGTCACAGGGTCCCGCGGTGTGGTGCCAGGGGTCCCGCGGTGCGGTATCAGGGAGTCCCGCGGTGTGGTATCAGAGGGTCCCGCGGTGTGGTGTCACAGGGTCCCGCGGTGTGGTATCAGAGCCCCCCCCCCCCCTCCTCCGAAGCCCCCGGGTTCGCCGCCCGCCGCCCGCCGACTCGGACGGACGGGGGGCGTCTCCGCCACACGGCGGCTCCGGTTACCACAACTGGGCCGCGCGCCGCACCTGACGTCACCGGCGGCGCGTGCCGGCCGGGGACTGGCGCCGCACAGTGTGGCCGGGTGCCCGTGGGTCTGTCTGTGTATGTGTGTGTGTGTCTGTGTGTGCGCTGCACGGGTGGCACACTGGCGGCTGGTGGGAGTCGGGAGCGGGGACCCTCGTCGCTCACCAGCCACCCTGACACACCACACGGGAGGAACCGACACCCTGACACGACACGGGAGGAACCGACACACTGACACACCACACGGGAGGAACCGACACACTGACACACCACACGGGAGGAACCGACACCCTGACACACCACACGGGAGGAACCGACACACTGACACACCACACGGGAGGAACCGACACCCTGACACGACACGGTAGGAACCGACACACTGACACACCACACGGGAGGAACCGACACCCTGACACACCACACGGGAGGAACCGACACCCTGACACGACACGGTAGGAACCGACACACTGACACACCACACGGGAGGAACCGACACCCTGACACACCACACGGGAGGAACCGACACCCTGACACACCACACGGGAGGAACCGACACCCTGACACACCACACGGGAGGAACCGACACCCTGACACACCACACGGGAGGAACCGACACACTGACACACCACACGGGAGGAACCGACACACTGACACACCACACGGGAGGAACCGTCACACTGACACACCACACGGGAGGAACCGATACCCTGACACACCACACGGGAGGAACCGACACCCTGACACACGGGTGGAACCGACACCCTGACACACCACACGGGAGGAACCGACACCCTGACACGACACGGTAGGAACCGACACACTGACACACCACACGGGAGGAACCGACACACTGACACACCACACGGGAGGAACTGACACCCTGACACACCACACGGGAGAGACCGACACCATGACACACCACACGGGAGAAACCGACATCATGACACACCACACGGGAGAAACCGACACCATGACACACCACACGGGAGGAGCCGACACCATGACACACCACACGGGAGGAACCGACACCCTGACACGACACGGTAGGAACCGACAAACTGACACACCACACGGTAGGAACCGACACACTGACACACCACACGGGAGGAACCGACACCCTGACACACCTCACGGGAGGGACCGACACCCTGACACACGACACGGTAGGAACCGACACCCTGACGCACCACACGGGAGGAACTGACACACTGACACACCACACGGGAGGAACCGACACCCTGACACGACACGGTAGGAACCGACACACTGACACACCACACGGGAGGAACCGACACCCTGACACACCACACGGGAGGAACCGACACCCTGACACGACACGGTAGGAACCGACACACTGACACACCACACGGGAGGAACCGACACCCTGACACACCACACGGGAGGAACCGACACCCTGACACACCACACGGGAGGAACCGACACACTGACACACCACACGGGAGGAACCGACACCCTGACACGACACGGTAGGAACCGACACACTGACACACCACACGGGAGGAACCGACACCCTGACACGACACGGTAGGAACCGACACACTGACACACCACACGGGAGGAACCGACACCCTGACACACCACACGGGAGGAACCGACACCCTGACACACCACACGGGAGGAACCGACACCCTGACACACCACACGGGAGGAACCGACACCCTGACACACCACACGGGAGGAACCGACACACTGACACACCACACGGGAGGAACCGACACACTGACACACCACACGGGAGGAACCGACACACTGACACGACACGGTAGGAACCGACACACTGACACACCACACGGGAGGAACCGACACACTGACACACCACACGGGAGGAACTGACACCCTGACACACCACACGGGAGAGACCGACACCATGACACACCACACGGGAGAAACCGACATCATGACACACCACACGGGAGGAACCGACACCATGACACACCACACGGGAGAAACCGACACCATGACACACCACACGGGAGGAACCGACACCATGACACACCACACGGGAGGAACCGACACCCTGACACGACACGGTAGGAACCGACAAACTGACACACCACACGGTAGGAACCGACACACTGACACACCACACGGGAGGAACCGACACCCTGACACACGACACGGTAGGAACCGACACCCTGACGCACCACACGGGAGGAACTGACACCCTGACACACCACACGGGAGGAACCGACACCCTGACACGACACGGTAGGAACCGACACACTGACACACCACACGGGAGGAACCGACACCCTGACACACCACAAGGGAGAAACTGACACCCTGACACACCACACTGGAGGAACCGACACCATGACACGACACGGTAGGAACCGACACACTGACACACCACACGGGAGAAACTGACACCCTGACACACCACACTGGAGGAACCGACACCATGACACACCACACGGGAGGAACCGACACCCTGACACGACACGGTAGGAACCGACACCCTGACACGACACGGTAGGAACCGACACCCTGACACACCACACGGGAGAAACTGACACCCTGACACACCACCCGGGAGGAACCGACACCCTGACACACCACACGGGAGGAACTGACACCCTGACACACCACACGGGAGGAACCGACACACTGACACAGCAAATGGCCCCAGTCAGTCATCGGCCCGACCTGTCCGCCAGAGAATGTATACAGATATCACAGAACATATATGATGTCTGTACTCCATCTCAATGTGTTAAAGGGACCCTCCCACCTTAACATTAGTTTTGAGTTGAGATAGCCAAATTGGTGGCCATGGCCTGAAAATACCGGTTTGGGCATTCACAACATCGAAAAATGCTTCAATTCGGAGATATGGAATTTCAAACTTGCAGTTTTCTGATTCTAAGGGGCTAATGCATTGGTATGCCCCCTTAGAATTTGTGACGTCAGCGGAGATCTAACGATTTTTAAATCTTTTACTAAAACGTTTGGCAGCACGCGGTGGTATATGCTGCTTTGCGCGCAACAAATGCCGCACTTTCAAATAAAGTCGCTAGGAACAGCGGAGATCCCAAAAAGTAAACAAAAGTAAAAGTCAAATATCTTGAAAACCGGTGAATATTTTTCGATGAAATTTGGTAAATATTCATTTTTGCTCTTTCTGAACCGAGCGACATCACTTTCATGCCAATTCATTAACTTTTTTGAAGGTGGGAGGGTCCCTTTAATTCACATGCCCATACCTGTGCAATTATTCGATACGCTGTACCTGCCCCATCTGATTTCCATTGCACCTCTGGACGTGGCCCACCAGCACCCGGCCACCTCCCGACTCCGAGAACGGGCCGGGTGGCCTTCCGAGCACCCAACGGCTTCTCAGTGTGGGACCCTGACTACATTAAACTCTACGTCTGACCGCTCCTAGACGCCCTTGACTACATCGGACCGCTTCCAGATGACCCTGACTACATCTGACCGCTCCCAGACGACCATGGCTACATCTGACCGCTCCCAGACGGTCCTGACTACATCTGACCGCTCCCAGACAGCCCTGACTACATCTGACCGCTCCCAGACGGCCCTGGCTACATCTGACCGCTCCCAGACGACCCTGACTACATCTAACCATGCTCGGCTGTCGTTCACCCGCTGTCGCTCCCGGAGGCTGCGGAGTTAGAACTGCTGTGACCTGTGTGTCTGTCTGCGGAGTTAGACTGCTGTGACCTGTGTGTCTGTCTGCGGAGTTGGAACTGCTGTGACCTGTGTGTCCGTCTGCGGAGTTAGAACTGCTGTGACCTGTGTGTCTGTCTGCCGGGTGGAACTGCTGTGACCTGTGTGTCCGTCTGCGGGGTGGAACTGCTGTGACCTGTGTGTCCGTCTGAGTTTTAAGCTCCGACCTCTGAGTACGTCTGGGGACCTACCATGACCCCTGCTGACCTGTGGTGACCCCTGCTGACCTGTGGTGACCCCTGCTGACCTGTGGTGACCCCTGCTGACCTCCGGTGACCCCTGCTGACCTGTGGTGACCCCTGCTGACCTGTGGTGACCCCTGCTGACCTGTGGTGACCCCTGCTGACCTGTGGTGACCCCTGCTGACCTCCGGTGACCCCTGCTGACCTGTGGTGACCCCTGCTGACCTCCGGTGACCCCTGCTGACCTGTGGTGATGGCTCTGCCCGCCAGAGTGACCCGTGGAGCGGCACCTCGACTCCGGCGGCCGCCGTCGACCCGTGGGCACCGCTGGAGCAGCCGGCGGCGCCGGCCGGCCCGCCCGGTCAGTGACCCCGCCCCGCCGGCGGCCACTTCCCGACCGCCCGGGCAGAGGCTAGCGCAGTGTGCCGGGATCAGACGGGGGTCCCGGTGACGGCAGTCAGGCCCATTCGATCGATTTGTTATAGTTTTCTACAGTGTAGGGAAGAGTGGGGCACATTCGTGCATGGGGCACATTCGTTTTCAGCAGTTTATGGGAACACGAGTGACTGCACGACCTCAAGGTAAATTATGGAAATATGTATATCATTGCCGCCCTTCGTTCACCGTAGAAGACAACACTGTACCTGCTGTCATGCTTGATAAAAACGCAAATTTGTAATATTAGTGAGCTTTCCAAACTTTTCTCATATCATCCATTTTCGTGATCCTGACTCGGAAATGTGGTTCAGCTTTTCAAAATTTGGGGGGGGGGGGCGAAGAAGCTCACTCTATTCACGGAACTGCTGCAAACTTGTTTGTTGACAAAGTGTCATTTTTTCAACAAAAATTTTGAAATAACTATATTACAAATAACGTGGGGCAGGCTCGTGTACGCACTGCCTGGGGGCACATTCGTGTATATTTTTTGCGATTTATGACTTTATCTGTGGTAGGTTTCACTAATGACGCTCGCCTGACTCAGTCTCGGCTGCTTGCGACGTCGTGACGAGTAATTCACGCGAACTTGGCGAGGTCACGGAGGCCGGCAGTTGGCACATTCTTGTTGGCCAGCCCATTCTTTCTACATATGTTGTGCAATGCATTCTTGTCGAAAGGAATCAAGTGAAATGACTCCCTGCCAATTTCCTTTGGTAAATTTCTGATGATGCCCGGTAATTTCTCGAACTTTGCAGGGTGCACGGAAGTGCCCCATCCCTTGCACGAATGTGCCCCATAGGTGGGGCAGTTTCGTGCAAACGTTCAGAGTTATTAAAAGTCATTTTTTTCTGATAGAAGCAATAATTTTAGAGGATAACTTTCAGAGAGGAAAATATATGAAATAGTTCCTTTCCATACTACAACCAACAATTTTGCCGTTGCACTAACCAAAGAACAGATATAAGGATTTATCCATTTTTTGCACGAATGTGCCCCACTCTCCCCTACAGTCTCTGTATGTACCCGGCAGTCTGTACCTGTCAGTCTGTATCTGTAGACGCTATTCGTCAGTCTGTACCCGTCAGTCAGTCAGTATCCGTCAGTCTGTATTCGTCGGTCTGTATCCGTGTCCGTCAGTCCGTATCTGTGAATCTGTACCCGTCGGTCTGTATCCGTGTCCGTCAGTCTGTATCCGTCAGTCTGTATTTGTCAGTTCTGTATCCGTGTCCGTCGTTCTGTATTCGTCGGTCTGTATCCGTGTCCGTCAGTCCGTATCCATCAGTCTGTAATTGTATCTGTCAGTGTGTGCGCGCGCCGGGCTGAGGCTCTAACCGCCCCCCCCCTCCCCCCGCTCCCCGCGCAGCGGCGGCGGCGCCGGTGGACCCGTGGGCGCCGCTGGCCTCGCCGTCGGCGCCGGCCGCCGCCGACCCGTGGGCGCCCGTGGCGGCCGAGCTGGGTGCCGCCGTGCAGCCGCCCGCCGCCGCCGCCGCCCGCGACGAGGACGAGTTTGCCGAGCTGACGCAGCGCTCGGCGGCGGCACCGACCAACGGCGCGGCGCGTGAGTGGTGCAGGGGACAGGGACAGGGACGGGGATGAGGGCGGGGACAGGGGACAGGGACAGGGGGAGGTGACGGACCGGGACGGGGGCGGGGACGGAGACAGGGACAGGCCGGGACGGCTGGGGGTAGGGGACCGGGACCGGGGGCGGGGACAGGGGACAGGCCGGGACGGCTGGGGGTAGGGGGCCGGGACCGGGGACGGGGACAGGGGACATGGGGAGTTGACAGGGACCGGGACAGGGACAGGGGACATGGGGACGGGGGCGGGGACAGGGGAAAGGACGGGAGGCAGTGGGAGGGCTCTGGTTTATCCGTTCAAGTTCATCGCCACCATGATGGATTTAGCACAGCCATAAGAATAGCACACACCTCAGAGAAAGGGCAGGGCAAGTGGCGGCGATATTATTCGGCCACTGGGGGATAAAACAGGTCTCTGTAAAACCGGCTACAGTACACACACACAGGCTGGCAAACGTTTCATTCATCTCAGTGTATGTGCGGCTCCCAAAGGGCGCGCGGGTTGCGTCCCTAGTGTATGAGGCGAGTGTCGAGGGCAGTGGCGGTCTCCCCAGCCCCTCCCCTCATTTCACCAAACGTGGCGGCGGGACCTCCCCCCAGTGAGAGGTGAGCGGTTTTTTTTGGGGGGGGGGGGGATTCCATGCGCCATGCGTGCCCCGGGGAGGTTCAGCTTGGCTCCGTCCAGGGAACTGACAGTGACTGCACACTGTCAACTGACAGTGACTGTACACTGTCACAGAAAGCTACCGAGGACGGGCCAGATGCGTTCATGGCTTTTACAGCGGCTTTGATACACGGCTCTGCGCGTTGCGGTGTATATGTCTGCGGGAGTGGGGGCATTCCACGATAGATCGACCAAAGCCGTACACCCTCATATTTTATTTTTTGCTTAAAATTGGCCTAATGGGTTGTGATGGGCGGGGAAGCCAGCTGTGCCAAGGATTTTTTTCTTCGAACAACGGTTTCCGAGATATAGCCTAAGCAATTCCTGGAGGTTACGCTGCAACCCTATGTTTGGCGGCTTATAACTCAGAAGCTATTGGTAACTTTATATGGTTCAACTCGCAATCAACCAACAAACGTTTTGGCTATCTCGGATTTTCGATTTTTGAAAATTTTGATCACGTGACATCTTGACCTTTTTTTCGAAGAGTGACCTTGATATTTCCCCAACTGAAAGTCGCAATTATGTCTGATGACGATTAAAGCTTTATCAATTGCCATTCATATGCGCAAATAAAAAAGTGGCTATCGCCCTGCGTTGACCTCAGGTCAGGTCATTTTTATGACCTGTCCATTATTACGAGCGGGAGCGACGCGAGATCTCGAGAATAAAGCAAGATAGCGACAAGCGGTAAACGGTACAGGATTCACAGGGATAAGGTCTACAATTTTTACGGAGGTCATTTTCAGGTCAGGTCAAAGATGACGTCACAGGGGTAAAAAGGAAGTCAAAATAGTTTTGGCTGTACCTTTTGATCTAATAAAGAAAGAGACGTGGAACAGGCACCATTGTGTTTGCTTTCGCCTAGCGCCAGTTCGTTTTGAATTTCAATACCGATGACCTAAGATCAGGTCAATTTCTTGACCACCCCATTATAAGTCAATTGGGGAAAAATCAGCTCCCTTGTTTCTACACTAAAACGCGTCGGAATTGCCTAATATACCATGAGTGACTTCATATACGACTAACTTTGACTACCTTGAGACCTTTTTTGCCCTTGGTCAACTGTGACGTTGCTCTTGGGTCATGTGACGTCATTAAAGGTCACCAAATGTTTTTTTTTACTAATAACTCCTTACAGGTTTGAGATACAGCCGGGCGGATAGGCTCATTGTGTTCAGCTCGTCAAGGCCCATCAAATGATATATATGATGACCTTAAGGTCACGTGACCTAAGGTCAACTTTTGACCTTGACCTTTCGAGGTCAACATACATATGTTTCGATGCGGATCGACGAGAGGATCACGATGGTGCTATTAGTTTGTTCCTAGCTGGGATACTTTGAAAGTTATTCGAGAAAAACTTCATATATATGTAGTGCCGCCATTTAGACTTTCTTTTTGCCCCTGTAACGTCATCTTTGTCCTGACCTGAAAATGACCTGAGTAAAAATTGTAGCCCTTATCCCTGTGTACTTTGTGCCGTTTACCACTTGTTGCTATCTTGCTTTGTTCTCGAGATCTCGCTGTCGCTCTCGCTCGTAATAATGGGAAGGTCATAAAAATGACCTGACCTGAGGTCAACGCAGGCCGAAAGCCACATTTTTATTATCGCATATGAATGAAAATAGATAAGGCTTTAATCGTCATCAGACAAAATTGCGACTTTCAGTTGGGATAATATCAAGGTCACTCTTCAAAAAAAAGGTCAAGATGTCACGTGATCAAAATTTTCAAAAATCGAAAATCCGAGATAGCCAAAACGTTTGTTGGTTGATTGCGAGTTGAACCATATAAAGTTTTTACCATAGAAAACCAATAGTTTCCGAGTTATAAGCCGCCAAACATAGGGTTGCAGTGTGACCTCCAGGAACTGCCCGAGGCTATATCTCGGAAACCGTTGTTCGAAGAAAAAAATCCTTACCACAGCTGGGTTCCCCGCCCATCACAACCCATTAGACCAATTTTAAGCAAAAAATAAAATATGAGGGTGTAAATTTTATTTATTTTTGGTCGATCTATCGTGGAATGCCCCAGTGGTAATAAGTTTGCGCCACCCGGATCTGGCAAGAAAAACATCTCGCGGTCGGTAGGACTCGAACCTACGCTCCCAGAGGGAATCTGATTTCTAGTCAGACGCCTTAACCACTCGGCCACGACCGCTGTGACGTGGTCGCGGATGGAGACTTCAACAAATCCTAGAAACGTAACCTGGCTTTTTCCTGGGCCTATAATTGACCTCTGCTACAGCCACGGTGGCGGAGTCCTTGCTGGCACTAGCGGCGGAACACCTTCAATTAGGGGGGGGGGGGGGGGCGCTGCCAGACTTTTGGTCCCATTCTTTCCATGCAACCAGGGTTACCAAAGCTTGGGATTTGTCCCAAGATCTTGGGATATTGAACCCGACCTTGGGACCTTGGGATTCAACAGCAGACCTTGGGATTTGTCCCGAGCTTACGACTCCCGCTAATTTTAGCACATTCTTGTAATCATTGGAACAAGGAAAAGTATGAATAAAGACCAAACAAAAGAATCAGGAACACATCTAACACAACTTAACTGTTTTTTTTTGTAAACAGTCCTTTTTGGCCGAACACAACCGAGCGTTCTTTCGTTTGGTTTCACTGTAGTCTGTACCTTACCAAGTGTGGAGAAGGAAATCATGGCCTCCCACTCCCGATGGAGGCCCCAAATATCTGTCCCTATTTTTTGTATCTGTCTGGGTGTCTGGGGCGCATAGCGACACGGGACCGCCGGCTCGCTGGCCGGCTGCCCGTCCGGTCACGTGCTTGCGTCCCGACACCCACCATAAAACCATGTTCTTCGGAAATACACGCTCTCACTTCTCCTCTACCGACTGTGACGCCAACACCATCCGCGGACCCCGGCTCCGACGAGGGCGGCCGAAATGGCCGGCCCACAATTGGTGCCAGCGGTGGTGGTTGGTTGTCGGTGGAGGACTTTTGGCTTCAGGTGAGTTCTCTTTAAATTAATTTCATTTGCTTTTTGTAATGTTTGAAATTTGAGATTTATATTTAGTTCTATTCGTTTTCTATATGATTTTTGTCATTATTTGTTTGGCTAACCATGGAAGATGCTACCAGGAATTTTAGTATTGAGTACAACACCCAAATGAAAGATATTTTAAGGCGAATTGCTTATTTAGAATTAGCTGTAGCAGAAGAGCTTATTGCTCAACAAAATCAAAATCCATCAAAATCTCAGAGCCGAGGACGTGATCGTCAATCTCGTCAGCAAAAATGCCGTTATCAACCTGTTCGCTCAAAATCACTTCACTCTTCTCACCATGGTTGTCAAGAAAGAAGTCATTGTTGTTCAAGTTCTTATCACCATGAATTTTCGAGCTGCCACCGGAACTTTTCACCGCGTCGAAACTTTCGTTCTCTGAGCCCAAACGGGTTCCGCTCACTGCACTAGGGGATGAGTGCGTGAGCGTCGCTTCAGATGACAGGGACCGTTCAGCACATCCCCCGGTTTTACGTGACGTCAAAATTTCGGGTCAAGCTTGTTCAGCTCTTTATGATAGTGGAAGTAGTGTCTCTTTAGTTTCAGAAAAATGTCTGCAAAAATCTGGTTTAAAAATACCTTACCAACCTCCCAGTGTCACTATTCTTGATGTTACTGGAAATCCTATTGACGTTGTAGGTGAAGTCAATCTGAACATTAGCATTCTGGGTCAAACGGTTCAACACACATTTTTCGTTACAGCAAAAAGTTTGCCATTCAAATGCGATATAATTCTCGGAATCGATTTTATCATTGCTCACAAATTGATTTACAATCCATCGAGTCGTTCAGTAAACTTTCTAAAACCAATTCTTTCTTCCAATGTAGTCGAAAGACGCTCAAAACGTCTGAGTCCCAAAAGACGTAAAAGAGTACGTTTTCTTTTATCAACAAAGGACAATGAAAAATGTGTCGATCAAATCGTTTATCCTGATAAAACGGTAGACATGTTTACAACTGCAGAAAAACATGCATTAACTATTGATGACGAAAAGTCATATCCATTACCTATTCGTGAAACAAACAGTAGAAATTTCTGGTTACAGCGAAAAATTTGTACGCGTAAAATTACCACATTTTCTACAACCAAACGATTTTCCATACCTAATTCAAACGCATTGTGATCAAAGTATTCGAGACATTCAAGTTGCCCGTTCTATAAATTTCTTGGAAAATTCAGGCACGCTTGTACGCGTGATTAATGCTTCAAGTAGCCCAGTCATTTTGAGAAAAAATCAGAGAATCGCACAAGCCCATCCGACCAAAAAGTACCCCTTCAGTCAGGTCACA